ATGGGTTCTAATGAACCATGGCAACACCGCCATGCCGACCGGTCGCCTATCGATGGCTACTGATTCAATGCCACGGGTTTTCACCATCGGTCATCAGTCAGCAGAGCGAGGATCCGGAGGGACAACAAAAGTTGGTTTATTTGAAAACTAACTCCTTTTTAATGGCACTAAAAAATGGTCACAACTACACAAAAAGTTATAGTTTGCCCTGTTAATTACAATGGTTTAATAATGATAATTAATCCACCTTATTATCTATTAATCTATGTTAAATTAGGATTTAAAAAAAACTATTTTTTGTGGCATTCAACAAATAATATAAATAATAAATCTAGAGAAATGGTTTTAACAATGATAAATATTCAAGAACCATTTACCACATTCTCTGATGCATTAACTTAAAACATTACCACACATTAATGAGTTCGTCACAATCAATTTCTCCCACAAAGTTAGTCACGTGTGAGGAAAGCACGCAGCTAAAAGCAAACAATTTAGGTCCCTTAATAGAACCAACCAACATGCTCCCCATCGATTCATATTCTCAGGACTGCCGTAGTCTATAGAGCACCACATTTCCACGATGGCAAAATGCCAAGAGTAAGAGCACTGTGGGCCAGGCTTTTAACCTTTTTGGCCTGCAAGCGAACGATTTCTTGTAGTTCCGATTAATGGATACTAATGCACTAGAGAGACTAATACATTAGAGAGACTTTCGGGGCCTCAAAATTGCTGGCACGTGCGGGACAAATACCGACAAATTTGTTATGATAAATAAACAAACAGCGAGACATATGAAAAAAATATATATTTATTACTAATATCTGACAACAATTTATGCGGCCATTAACAGCGGCAATACAACGTGTTTATTTCAACATTCTGCCAAGCCGTAAAAAGTATAAAAATATGTAGCCAAAGGGGAAAAGGGGCAAGCAAAGAAAAGAAATAAAATAAGTAAATATTAATAACTCGAAAATCAATCACAATTCAAGGCATGTCCGTTCGCCGGCTCGCTTCGGTTGGCCGAGTGCAAAATTCGCCCATAACCCATAATCTGTTCATAAATTCAAACACCCACGGAAAGTATTATTCACCCAGAGCGACCGCAAACAAAAGACATTCAGCCGTATGACTATTTGAATCGATCGTCTGGCCAGCGGATTCGAGTGGGCCTTCAGTGGGTCAGTTGTGGGACTCCGAGGAAAGTGATAGTAATTGATCAGTAAACGGAATGTGAAAGCTAATAATGAGAGCTACTAACCACAACTTCCTTTCCGACTACCATTACCTTCTGCCTTCAAGCCAGAGTATTTTATTTGTTATCGTAAATTACATTTCCCGCGTTTTACATACAAAATATGCTAATTTATTTCCTCCAGTGTTGATATATTCAACAATTGAGGAGGAAGTTCTACCAGCCGACACCCCAGAGTTGCTAGAACGTACAGTAAATTTATGCCACTAATAAAAATGTTGAAAAATAAATTAGCGAAATTCCGGAAATTGTAACAAATTAACATTAGCACAAATGTAATTAGTAACGCCGTGTTGGGCGGTGCTTTTTATACTCCGTTCATTTTCCGTCGCGGTGGAAATGATTCAAGTATTGTATATTGTATAGTTTATATAGTAATTAGACCGCCATAACTTTCAACGGCACTTCTAGTTTTAGAGTTCAGAAGAAGAACTCTTTGAAGAGAATTTATTTTTGAATGAGAAAGGGAAATTTTTAATGAACAACAGGTGCATTTCAGCGCCTTGTTAAATTTTGATTAAAATAGTATTTTTAGGAAACCTTTTCACTTTTTCACTTTCTGGTGGGTGTGTGTTTAAACAGCTTTCCCTTATTGTAGACACAATATTGTTTATTTGCTCAAGTTGTATGCATTTTCGGTGACGAACTAGGAAGACACCGAAACAGCAGCCGTGGAATCAGAAGGTGTTATTCAATAACTCATTAATAACATGCATTTCTGGACTGGGAGCCATGCATCAACAGATGCCTCGTCGCTGGATTCCCCGATAAAGATATAGACGGGGTTCGGGGCTCTGGGTTGTGGGATTGTCATGCGGAACTTCCGTTTCAAAGGGGCAGGCTGGTGGAACATAATTACCCGACTTTCCTAGTTGCAAGCTCCATTTGAGCTTCCGTTGTGGAGCGAATGCAGCAAATTTACCAATCCCCCATTCCCCGCCATTTTCCCGCTCCAAAAATGCATTATTAATTGCTTTGCCTTTGATTTATCTAAGAAGCAGGCTCCAGCCGACCTCAGTGCCAGCACCCCTGAATCCTCCGCTCCTCTAACCCTCCAACCCCCCAACCCCCCAAACTTATGCAACCCTTGGAGCATTCGCCATAACGCTCCACTCACAATGTTTAATTGTGGAAATGAGAAATATGCGGAAGCGTTGACGATTCCGCTCCAGCGTCTGCTGCACTTGTCGCATCACTTGATGCGCCCAGCCCCATTTTCAGTTTCAGTCCCAGTTTTAGCCCGTGTCCATGCACAAGCCCCTGCACCTACCCCTTCCCCTTTTCCCCTGCACTTTCCCCGAACCCCAGTGCCCATCCATTGGCCACCCCATCCTCCTTTCCATCCCTCGTTAGCTGGCATGTCAGCGGCATTGTAAGCCATGTGTCTACGCTGCGGAAAAAACACTGTGTTTTTTATAGATAGTTAATTTAATTTACCAAAAAAATGTTGTTTAATTTAAAAAATTATAGAAACTTTATAACTTTATAAAAATGGCATGCATCCTTGAACTTAACAAACTTATGTTGGATACTTTATATGTATTAAGTCTTTCCTTATAAACTTTTTAAATTGGGAATATTTCCTGAGAATCTTCTATTAATCTTTATTAATACAAATTTAGGCAGATGGTGAAACGGATTTTAAATCAAATACTTGTTAGCTTTATTAAAACTTAAAAAAAAAATAAAAAAAACACAGTGATAATGACCAATTTATCAAGCATGATCTTTTATTTTACTCGCACGTTGATAATTTTTAAGGGGTTCATTTACGTAGAAATATTTTTTTTGTATATTTTTTTATAATATTTGTTCTTTATATTTTCCCTCCGTGTAGCCAGCATCTGTAGCTGTCTGCTCCACTCCCACATACGACGGTCTCGGCACTTGCCGCACTGCCCCTCCTTCCTGGCTCCCCGCCGACCGCCGACTAAATGACACAAAAATATGGGCTTAACCGGAAACGGATGTATTATCTGCGCTAACTGCGCTGCCACACACAACAGTCAGTTAGCTCAGTTCAGTTCAGTTCAGCCCGTTCAGCCCGTTCAGTCCAGTCCAGTCAGTCAGAGTCAGTCAGATTCAGTAGCGGGGCTGGGCCGAAAAAGTCGGGCTCGGGTCGTGGAACTAATAGAATATTATAAATCGTGCCCCGAGAGCACGTATCACGCAGAATGAGACAACCTGTCTTCTCCACTGACCCACGGTTCTCGTTCGTTACGCTTCTGTGGGCTTTTTGGCCTGTGCTTTTGGCTTTTTGCGGCTCCCGAACATTTCGTGTTCGCATGCAAAATCCCAAATGGAGTGGAGTTACGACTGGGAAAAGTCGGCAAAGGGGAAACTATAACTGCCGTTAGTTTTGTTAGGGGGTGGGGGATTAGGGGATTGGGGGGTGGGGGTGGTTTTAGACCCGACCACTGGTCCACTGCATTCGCTCGCATGTCGTTGTCAAGCACTTGCCGACGCTTTCACTTTCCTCCCGACCTCTTGCGGACCCTTTCATCGTTGTCAGACTGCGGCAACAAAAAAATACAAAATAAGAACCCAAAAAGCCGTACCCCGGGTACATTGACCTGCACTGAAGAGGCCATTGTAAAGCATGAATAGTGCATGTATATTTAGCCCAAGGCCGGAATCTGCAACAGAAAAATCAATAAACAAAGCAGGCGAGCTTGTCAAAATACTTTGGGCCGTTCAAACCATAAATATTTGGGATTACTTTAATATTTTTGCTTTATTAACTTGTAAAGGGTTCCCAAAAAAATAACAATTTGCGAACAGAAAGCTTATTAATTAAGGTATTTGGTAGCAATTGATTTTATTAGGAATTTTTTAATTGAATTTATTTTGTATTCTAGAAAATATAAATACTAATAAAGGACAAATTTTAATATCTAAAACTGACTCCTACCAACTACTTGAAATTTAAGAAGTCTGTATGGCTTACATTTTTTACCAGATCAATAAACCAATCTTGACGGCCAGACAAAGTTAACTATTTGATTGGCAACTCAAGGGTTACTCCACGTAAACGTATCTATTGCATCGAGTGCAGCTGCCAGATAGCTGGCATTCTCCCTGTCTGTCTGCTCCTTTGGCATTTGCATGTCTTTAGCGAGGATCAAGGATAAGCGTAGCCAGCTGATTGAGATTGAGTCATTCCCGAACAATGCCGCTCAACCGTCAACCGTCAACCATCAGCATCAACCGTCTGTGAAAGTGATCGAGATCGAGATCGAGGCCGCAGATGCGGCAGTAAACACATCTCGGCAATCCTTTCTACTCCTTGCTGTATCCTTTGCGTGTCACTCAAGCGATCAGCAAAATAACAACAAACAATGTAAGCAGAGGAATGAAGGGGAAGGACTGGGGTAAGCATCCTTTGTGGCTGTTTTGTTAGCTTTGATCGCAGCTACTTAGCATTTTCCGAGTCGTCTTTATAGTCCCCGTGGATTTTCGCATGCCTCGCTGAATTTTCCGCCCTGATTGAGGAAAGCATAATGTGCTTTAGTTTCGGAAAATGTAAAATATTTGAACTGCATTTAGTAAAACATCTATATCATGTTTAAAACTAATATAATATGCTTCATATATTTTATTTTAAGGGTAACTTAACCTTCTTTAATACCTTTTTAAATACAAAACATGGGATAATTTAAGATGATTTGAAAATATTTCTGTTGGAAACATCGTTGGTAAGGATTCAATTAACTTGGAGCAAAACCAAGGAATGCCCTGCAGATATTGTCAAAATTTTCCAGTTTTTTCCCCTCCAAGTGGAAGCAAAGAGAATGTTTGGCTGCAGTTCGAGAAATTGCTACGTGCTCTGGCCTCCTGCCCTCCAGCTGCTCAACTTTCCCCCGCATCAAGAACAGGAACAGATTCCCCGGCCAGTGGTGCACTTTGAGTGTCCTCCGAGTCAGCAACTTGATATCGGAGCTCTCCGTTTCAGGAGACGGCAGGTTGCTCCCGATGTTGATAGATCCAGGGTCCAGGAAACCGGAGATGGACCCAAACCGGAGATTCTGTTCGTGAGGCGGTGTTACATGTTGTCGGGACTGTTCATCATCACCACCGTCATCCTGGCGATGATCCTGTCGAAGGCGATTCCTCCAGATGTCGATCTCATGATGGCCGGCTTCATTTGCACAATGACTTCCTTGATGTTTCTCTTCATTCTGTGCATTGCCGCCAGGTGTAGAAAATTCTACTGGTTCAGCTTTATCCTGGCTGGATTATTCGTGGAGTTAGCCGGAGTGGGTGTGGTCCTGGTTTTGCAGAAACGGAGCTTGGAACACTTTTGTATAGCTCTTTCGGCGGCTTCTATTGCCACTTTGATTTGCTATTTCACTGGAGCCTGGCTACCCAAGATCTTTCTGCCCGGCGAGGCAACCATGCTAGTCCTGCTCGTCATTTTCGTGGTGGCCTCCCTCTGCATGATGATCATGTTCATATTTACGGACCAGAAGATCTACCAAATAGCGTACTTCCTCTTTTTGGCCATCGTGTTGATACCCACATCGATTTACCACGGTGAAGTGGTTCACGGCAGGCGATTCAACCTGCCCGTCTATGAATTTGTGATCTGCGCTGTCCACGTTTATCTGCACTTTCTGTTGTTCTTCGCGGCTTTTTATTACGTGGCTTGGGCCCCCAGTTGGCTCAGTTTATAAGGCCAATAAAGTCGTAACAAGGCTGAAAATTACGAAAAATTTGCCTTATAGGAACTATCTTCAGCTAAATAAAATACATACACTCTTTTGTACCACTTTGTAAAAAGACATTGGCCTTTAAATGCTTTAATGCGACCCCCATTATTTTTGAGAATGGTACCCTAATTTATTTATTGTAGGAAAAATACTACCTTTAGTACACGTTAAAAAGTATCGATTAATATTATTAAGAACTAACGGATATATGTGAATATATACATCATGATAAATGACAAATACTTCGCAGATGTGGAAGATAAACAGCTCTGCCGAGGTTCAGTTGTCAGTCTTAATTTCTATGCCCGAAACAAAGGAATCTCTACGGGATGGATAATATATATCACCGGGACACTAACCGGACAACGGTCACGGAACCGGATGACCCGATGGAGCAGTTCCCTAGCAGCATGTATAAAAAATGCATGATCATGCTCGGAGCGACCGTGGTTTCGTGGCTCCTCCTCCTGGTGTACAATGTCCACCTGCACAAATACCTGCCCTTTCCCAAGTTCGTCCTGGTAGTGATCGTTTTCCTGCTGATCGTGATCATCCACGGCATTCCCCGGATATCCTACTACTCGCCCTTCATTTGGACACTGGCGGCTATTGTGGTGCTGTGCACCATCGTCCTCGGTTGCGCCATCATCGACCAGCTGACCATGGTGACCATGGTTCTGGTGATGCTCGGCGTGGCTCTACTTATCCTAATCCTCAACTTTTTTGGTGCCATGTGTCCGCAGGAAGTGCTGCCCGGTGGCGTATGCTCCACCCTGCTGATGATGGCCCTCCTCGCCGTTCTGTTCATCGTGGGAATCGCCCATCTGATCAGTGGAAATGTGGAACTACTCGACGCCTTTGTGAGCATCCTGTTCGTGATGCTGATCATTGCGATTCCCATCCAGGCCCAGTTCAACCACGGCCGTCTGGATGTCGTGGAGCTTGTCCCGACAGAGCACCTCATGATCTGCAGCCTCACCGTGTACTTGCAATCCATAATGTTCTTCTGCTGCGTCTGCTACTTCATCCTGGTGGACGAGAGAAAGGCGGCCACCGAAACCACAGAAGATGATGACCTACCGGAAACCGTGTCCTTCCAAGATACTTGATTGAGAGAATAGTCTGGATTTGTTTTGTTGGATTGCTCGAACGACTTGTAATTTTACTTGCAACAAATCTGAGTACAAAAACCTGCCGAGAAGTAGGAATCTATATTATGTTATATTTTTATATTAATAAAAATGTTTACAAAATTTAAGAGGTTTCTTATTTGGGCAATTCTTAGTTTATTGAATAAAGTAGTAATATTCCAGTAAGCTTGTGAAACACAAATGAAAAGCAAATATGTCAATCAAAGATCATTGTAACAAAAGCTTTTTCTTAATTACCAACCCGTTGCTGGTTTAATAATTAAAAACTTCATTTGTTTAATTTTATACAACTGAGTACTTAGCCTAGCTTCTGTTGTCTAAATTTCAGTTATTTTTAAATAAGGTCAACACATGAATATCCAGAATCCGCGCTGGGTGCCGTACGGCCTTCGGGGCGGAAGACCCGATGAACAACAGGGGGATCAGCCGGAAATCATCGTGATCGGGGAGCGGGAGCTGAGGGCCTTCATCTTCAAGGTCTACCTGTGCGCCGTGGGTCTGTGCTTCCTGACGGCGATTCCGTGGATCGTCCTGTCGGCTTTGGAGGTGGACGTGTACAAGGCCATTCCGGTGCCGCCGTTCGTTTGGCTGATCCTGGCCTTCGTCATCCTCACGATCCTCAGCTGCATCCGACAGACGCCGCCCATGACCCTCATTTGCTGGGGACTCGTCCTGGGATCCCTGTTCTTTATCACCTTCTACGGAGCATACTACACGCATTTGGTGAATGTTTGGGTCCTGGTGGTGTCACTCGTAATATCCGGTGTCCTTATTGCCCTGCTCAATCTTTACGGCGCCAAGAGTCCGTCGATCTTCCTGCCCAACGTCATCTGCACCTGCTGCGTTTTCCTGCTGGCCGTCATCACAATGATCGTGCTCCTCATCCTCTACATGGTCATCAACGATTTGCGCTATTTACTGGGCTTCGCCATTGTGTTCTGCATCATGATCATTTTCATGGTCATCTTTCAGGCCCGCTTCCTCTGCGGAAGGCTCCAACATGTTCCCTACGGGGAGACCGCCAGCTCCGCCAACAGTATCTACCTGCACTTCATCTTCCTGACCTCCTGCATGCTCGTCTTTGCCCTGTACTACAATCACGTCAATAAAGACTAAGAATTGAGCATTTTTTTAAAAATTCAAGGTCTAAATGTTTAAGTTAAAAAAAATAAGATTTTCGTGACAAAGATGTTGAAGCTGTATAGATTTATTAAATTATTGCATTTTAACGAGTGTTAAAAAAAATAACAGCACCTGAAGAATTATTTTCCATCGTATTTCTGAGTACCAAAATTTTGTTTTTCTTTGAGAAATATATTTACTGTGAGCAGAGCATATAATAGAAATACAAATATTTAAGGTCACAACTTACTGCATATATTGTTTTGTTTTAAAGAGTGTTAAAAAAACTGAATCTGAAGAATTATTTTCCACCGAATTTCTGAGTACAAAAATTGTGTTTTTCTTTGAGAGATTTATTTACTGTGAGCAGAACATATAATAGAAATACAAATATTTAAGGTCATATAAAATACTTACCTCATGAAAGAAATAATACAAATCTTTCAGGCTGTGCATTTGTTACAAAATACAATTTTTTTCGTTTTGAAAAATAATATTACATTTAGTAATTTACAATCTAAGCAAAATGTAGAAACACATCAAAATTTGGAACCGATATCCGAAAATTGTGGATCCGATGCCAAGACTACAGCTGTGTGCCATTTGTGCGCGATGTCGAAGGGGACCGGAGGAGAATCCGGACGCCATAGATCCGGATGAGTTGAGAACGTTCGTGCGTACCGTATACATCAACGCCTCGCTTTTATGTTTGCTTTCAGGCTTCATATTGCTGATCATCACGTCGCTCGACTTGAACTTCAACTCGATTTTTCCGTTTTCCTCCTACTTGTGGCTGCTGGTGGCCTTGGGCATCCTGATGTTCATGGTCGGCACGCCGCTCAGGGAAATGGGAAGGCCGCTCCTTTGCGCAATGGTCATCGGAATTGTGGGGCTGTCAACGGTGGCTGCCGGGTACTACGTTTATACACTGTATCTTTCCGAGTTGCTGTTCTGCTGTGTCGCAGCCGGATTACTGTTGATTCCATTGCTGGTCTGCGGAGCGAAGTGCCGGAAATCTTGTCTCCCGAATGCCATCGCCACCTGGGTGATTGTGAGCCTCTGTCTGCTGGCACTCTTGCCACTCGGTGTTTTGTCGCTGATCGACGATGATGAACTATACTTCCTCCTGTTCAATGTGGTGCTCTTCATCCTGGCGTTCACAATTGTGCCACTCCAAGTCCGGTTCATCCACGGCAGGATGCACTACGTCCCAGTCGGCTATGAACGGGCCTGCTCCCTGGGGATCTACGCCGATGCATGGGTGTTCCTCTTCTGCGCCATCAACATTTACCTCACAACTCTAGCATTGCTCTCGGTTCCCCATTCTGATCTGGGAAAGACTGCTACTTCGGTGTAATTGTGTCGGCAGCTCACCCAATAAAAATGTTTCGAATCTAAGCTTGTATTTTGTTATAAAATTCGTTTCAAAATCTTTCAAAAAAATTCAGATTAAATGCGCCTACCAAAATAAACCTGCATATTTATATTATATAATACAAAATACAAAAATTAAAAAAAAACTAGATCAAAAATAATTTGACCTTTTAAAAATAAAAGAGAGCCCTTTTGAAAACTTGAAACTTCTTTTACATATTTTTTGGTGCTTCGCTAGATGATAATCTAAAAAATATCTTTACACAGTCTGATTTTGCAGCTATGTTTTGAGTGTCAAAATTGTGCTTACGCCTTTCAATTTTGGAGTACCAAACTTCGAGAGACCGAAAATTTCGAAAAGCCGTGCTAAAAAATGCCACGGAGGGGCACCCTTCGTTCTAACGAACCGGATGTCTACGGAGTGCCGCCGGATCCACGGCTCAGCCACGCTGCCAGGATCTACGGGCTGACTCTCATCATGGCCGTCATCGCCTTGTCGCAGTGGATCCTCATTGGCATTTTCGATGATCGCACCCACAAAAGACGCCCAGAGCAGTACGGCTGGTGGCTCATATGCACCTTCATGGCGGTGGCCTCCGTTTCCTGGACCAAACTGGGACGCAAGGTGCCATACAACTACATCATCATTGCGGCCATCGTGGAGAGCTCCACCATCTATATTGCCCTGGAGCAGAAGCACAGTGCTCATATGTTAGTCAACATCTATGCCGGCACCATTGTGGTCGCCCTCATGCTGGCCTCCATTATTTGGGGCGCCTACTTTCCCATGTTCTTTGTGCCCGGCGATCTGGTGCTCAGCCTTCTGGTGGCCATATCCTTCATTATGATCGTCTTGTTCTTCATCAATATTCTTTTCATCGACTACATTGGATTGCACTATATGGTTCGAAACACATTCGCCCTGGTCGCCGTCTGCATGGTGATGTACACGGCCACCATTATCCACGATCGCCAGTTCGATGTGCCGAAGAACGAGTATCTGTTTCTCAGTGTCCTGCAGTTCTTCTCCTACATGATCCTGCAGGAACGCATCCTCGGCTTAGCCTATCGCAGTACAAAAAAACTCAAATGTGAAGAAAATACATAAAGAAATTCTAAAAAATTTATTTTACCACTAAAAATTAAATAAATATATTTAATGATATTTATTTCAGTGCAAGAAAGTCAAAACAAAACCATTGACTTCGAAAAATTTCTAAAGTTGCTTACCTATAAACTTTTGTGATCTCGTTTTTAAACGAACTGCGTTCAACATTTTTATTTTTCTCGATGGTCAATTTTTTTAATTAGGGTTCATGATTCAAGAAAGCATAACTTGGTCAAATTTAATCCGATTCCAAAGTGGCATACCTTCAATCTTTTGTAATCGCATTCATAAGCAAACTGCATTTAAATTTTTTGATTTTTCGATGGTCGATATTTTGACCCTTGTTCATGTCAAATTTTTCCTTATTTCCTGTCGATTGCGGTCAATATTAGTCTGATTTCATACATACGTTTAAGATCTACATTTTAACAGACAATTTCGGTATTTTTTTCAAGCATGCATTATTGTTCACATGGTTGGTGTATTGTTTTGACTGAAATATTGGGCTCATTGTTTTGGGACTTCGGCCAGAATTTCCTGGCATGCGCCAAGTTCAGACAATGGATAATTGTCTTGAAGTGAAATTAATAAATAAACCGCTAAATTGGCAGTGCAACGTGTTTCAATTTTGTTTGGGGCGTGTGTGCTGATGGCTTTTATTCGCGGCGCATGTGATTCAGCAACCTTTATGAAGAAGGTAAACAGAAAACAGAGGATCTTGAAACCGGATTCATATTTGCAAGAAATATCGTAATAAATTTCTTAACAAACTGTGTAAATAAAGGCCTAAGCATAACAGCTTCCCGTTTATTTAAATTTAATCATTCAGGCATGGGGAAGAGCTCACTCCTCGGGAATTCCATTCGCTAGAGATCATAAACATCCCCGGCAGCTTTAATAAGACACTCGCGCATCGATTTGAACTGGATTAGAACGGGGAGAAAAGTAACTCTTATATGAAATTTACATAAAGTATCCTCAACTCCACTTGGGCTGTTTGATAAGCTGCCGTAACCGAAGGAGTGCCACTGGAAACAGGATTAATAGAGCAGGGTACTGGACTGTCCAAGACCAAACAAAGCGGCAGCTGGGCGAAACAAAAGATCGCGAGTCCCTCAACAATGCCGTATCCACTTTAGGTCCAAGCGAGGCGAGAGGAAACTCGTTATGAGTCACACAAATCTCAGGATACGCGGACAGGGTCTGCGATCCATCCATCCATCCAAGTATCTGCCGGTCCATCTAGCCTTGTTTTCTTAAACCTTAGGCAGTAGCAACCCTTTTATTCGAAGGCGTCGCGGTCAGTCGCGAAAACAATCAGCGGCCATAAATGTTGATTATCAGGATGATAGTGTGCATAGCGATGGTGATGATGATGGTGATGATCAGACATAGACACTGCGAGAAAAGTTCTAATTTTTCAGGATTTATTTAAGTTTGAATATGAAAGGTAACTTGCAAAAATAACTTGATACAAATACTGTTAAGTGGGAGTCACAACAGTAGATTGTCGTAACAATGTTTCTGATTAAAAAAAAATGTTTTCAAATAGAAATACCTTGCAAACAAAAAATATATTGTAAATGAAATTAATTTGTAATTTACTTTTTTAAACAAGATTAATTTATTTATCAATCATTTATTCAATATTTAATTTAAGTGTAAGTGCATTATCACTCGCAGCAGCTTTCGATCGGCGCATCTGGACCCGATCTGCGGCGAACTGACCTGAGCTAGTTACCTTTCGGAAAAATCTTACACGAAAATCGTGGGAAAATTCCCAAAAGCGCATATCGAATGCAATTAAACGTTCGCGACGTCTCGCGGTGGTTACTTTGCCACCCGAAACCCAATTCCGATGGCCAGGGGTTGTTAATGCGCGCGGAAAACTTGCGCGTTTTTCCTAACTCTCATTTTCACCCTCAAAACGTACGACGAGTGGAAAATGGGGGAAAAAAGCAGGGAATAATTCCGCTTGTTGCGTGGTCAGCTCGTGATTTACCTTTCCGGTGACAAAAACGCGGAAGCATTGTAAATCGAGCCGAGAGCAGGGGGCTCGACTTTTCCTCCCAACTTCTGCTAACTGCTAACGACTTTGGTAGGCGGTTGTATGTATGTGCCTTAACGTGGGAAACGCGGACTTCGGTGTCAACTGGTTGCTGGCTATCGAAGGCTTTCGCATAATTAAATGCAACAAAATGTGGCAGCAGCAGTTTGATTTCTCCCCAGATAACCGGGCCCATGGTGGTGGAATTCGACGTAATCATTTACATTACTTCGTGGTCCTAATGGCCAACGCAAACTAGTTCGAGTGGTTTTTGGCCAGTTTTAACTAACTTGAGGGGTATGAATTTAACAAAGAAAAATCATTAAAACATTTAATTTTTAGTTTCTCTTTAAAACGCTGAACGATTTTTATTTAAGAACATAATAAAGATTTTTTTCATCTTGCAGCAGAGATATAATTGTCAAATGTATCTAAGTTGTATTATTTTCACACAAAACTTTACTTAATCTTATCTTATGACTCGATGGATGATTTTCGGCAGCAGAATCAAAACAATAATAGTAGTGCTAATGATTACACTGTGTTTAGGAAGTTTGTACTTAAAGTGTACGTATGGACAATAATTTTCTGCCTTTTATCAGTGGTTTCGTGGATTGCAATTTCAGCGATTGGATTGAATGTTTATAAACACATTCCTGTGCCGCCTTATGTGTGGCTACTCCTGGCTCTTATATCCCTGGTTATTATAATTGTCTGTCCCCGGATGCGGTTTAAATATCCTTACAATCAGCTACTGGCCATTTTATCATTTATATTTATAACACTCAGTGGAGCCTATCTACTGTTCCTGATTAAGACTTGGATCATTTTAATTGCAGTTTTGGCAAGCGGAACATTTATTGCGCTCTTATGTTTTTGCGGGGCGAAATGTCCTTTGAAAATCCTTCCAAATCAGTTTTGGGGAAGTGTTTTAATTGTTCTTTGTATAACAGCGCTCTTTATTTTGGGAATAATCACGTTTTTTTTAAGAAACCTCACTATATACTTATTTATCGGCATCTTCCTTGCTGTTTTGGTGGTTATCATGTGCCTATATGAATCTCGGTATATTCACGGACGTCAGGATTTTATACCGCTCGTAGATCCCCTGATATGTGCCCTAGGATTCTACATTTACTTCATTATAATTTTTGCTAGCCTTACTACTTTTTACCTTTTTCAAATAAAATCATACAAAAATCAATAAAAATAAAACAAACTATTTTGTAAAACAACAAATATCACAAATAATTTAATTACAACCAAATCTTATACATCATGAAAATTCAAGCTTGCACCTTAAATAACTATATAAACTGAGACTTTAGTTCTCGAAACGATTCGTCAAGCTGGCATAAAGTCAAATTCTAAACCCTCACACCGTTTTGCTACAGTTATGGCTCAGTATTTCCGATTCGCTCCGATGCATCCATCTTGACAGCTTTGGTTCTCGACAAGGAATTCCGAGGGGAATACCGAAACCAATGGCCATTACTTCGCCGTCATCAGCATATCTTCGTTCCGTTGCGTTCCGTGGCTTAATGCGAAATAATTACAACTTGTTCGCACATCATTCAGCACAAGTTGAAAAAAAATTATCTGTCAGCTCGACGTCCCCTTCATTTGTTTGCCCAATGACGAATGTGACCCTCCAATGACGAACGACGGCGATGATGACGATAATAATAACGATGATGATGATGATGATTATGATTATGATTATGATGAAAACTTCAAAACGACACTTGCCTTGTTTGCTTTTTGCGTATTTTTTTTGCAAAAAAACTCTTGTGGGCGCGTCGGTAAAATTTCAAAGTCGGCATCATTAACACCAATGCGCCATTTTGGTATTTCGATGTCGATGAGTTGTTGAGTGTTGATGGTGATTGATGTAACTTTTGAGGCAGCCAGCACTTGGAACCCGATCTCGAGTGAGTGTACCAAATTGGTAGCTTGCTGGCAGCCCATCTTGCCGACCTCCTCCCCCTTTTTCCCCTCCCCATTCGAAGACCCTTGGGCTGTATATTTGTTGTTTTAGTCGAAAGTCCCAGGGCCGCGCTCCCTTGGTCTATGCTAATTTGTTATTTTAAGCATGTTTGTTTGCCTACAGCCCTCCAGACCGCCAGCCCTGCAGTTCCGGGCCAAAATATTGACAAATGCGACGGGCGGAAGGGAGCGGAAGTGGTTGTGTCTGCACCTGAGGCGAAGTAAACTCTGCAACAAATAACAAACAAGTAAACCAATTAAAGCAAAAGATACAATTTGAATTCCTAATGGGCTTTCGGCAACGCTCCTAGTTTCAACACGAATTTAAAAATAATTAAATACATTTTTTTGCATGAAGAAAGGCTGGGGAGGGAAAGGGTTCTTAAAAGTGGTGACTCGAAATGCTAAGTAAATTAATTTGAAAATAATTTGAAACATGGGAGGACATTACGTGAAACTCAATAAAAAAAAATAACTAAATAAGAATAAACAGTTTCTAAATATGACTATTTTAAATTCAAAAGCTTATCCCCATTATTTATTGTAAATTTGGGAAAGACGCTTACGGCCAGTTATACTCTCACTTTTATTAACTTTGAATAGAGCAAATTAATTGGAAAATAATGCAGTCATTCCAAAAAAAAAAAAAGATATAGGGGAAACTTTTACCTCTAGAAAGGGTAAAAATCCCATCCCAGAAGAGGAGCTTACTACTGTTACTACTTGAAGGCACTTTTGAACCTTGTAAACTTTAACCAGATCCTCAATAGCCTCATTAACCCACTTCGGAAGTCTCGGACTTTGACAAGTCTAATCTGGTTATAGGCAGCCCCGGGTGGTCCGACTCCTGCATGAAAATCACCCAAAATGCTGCCCAAGAAGGGATAACAAGTTCTAACCCCAAATAAACTATAACTCAACGCACTAATTACGGCGGAGAGACAAAGGTGGATGGGTCTAACCAAATGGCAATTGCGCATTGACTTCGTCACTCCGCCGGTCCAAGATGTTAGGGCCC